CCAGTCCAGTCAGGAGCAAGTCACGACTGCCTTGTGTCACTTCAGCCACTGCTCCGAGAGCCAGCACCGCAAACCACGGCTCAGGCCATGCCCTGGGAACCCGGCAAAACCCTCCTGGAACAACGGACCTCAGCCATGCCAGGAGGACAGCGCATCCATCCTCAGCAGGACGTCTCAAACCAACACCTGGGACTGCTCCTGTCGCTCACATCTGCCTGGTGAAGTCCCAGCTCACCCTGTCTTCCAGCGGGAGCAGTGCTGGCATCAGCCGGGCTCCCCGCGCTCCAGATGCTGATCTGCTGAAGGATCTCTCCTCCCGTGAGCATCCTCCCCGGCCCACGCCCTGGGCCCCGGGGGTGCAGACGGCAGGAGGCACAAAGGGAAATTCATCCTCGCCAGCCCCTCTGGGCAAAGCATACGGAACCCGCGCCGCTCCTGCCAGCTCCCTCCTCTGCTGCCCGGCCAAGCCAAAGCCCGAGGTCCCCGGGCTCCGCACGCCTGAGCCTGGCAGCTCTCCCGTGCCCGAATTAGCCGGCACTGAGGCTGTTTGAAGCGGCTCCAGCCCTCGGCTGTAGGGACACGCAGCCCCGCAGCGGTAGCCGCTCCCGGGGCCGCATCCAGCTGGGATGCCCATCCTGCCATCCCGGCTCTGCTCGCGCTCCTCGCGGCCGCCATCCGTGCCCATGTGTTCACCTGGCAGCCTTCCCAGCCCCGGGCTGCCTGACAGGGCCTCAGCTGCCAGGTAGTGATGCACTGAGAGACGGAGGCCTGAGCAGGGCTGGCAATGCTGCTCCTTCAGGCTTCCTGCTCCTCCAGCCCATGGAAAAGAAAGGAAATCTCTCACCTGATGATGACTGCGGTGCTGTCTCAGCCTCTTCTCAAAGCAGGCACAAGATGAAGGCAGAGGAGAGAATACACCCCTCACCAACTCGACAGATGCTGAGGAAAACTAAAGGAGCTGAATTCACACAACTTCTTGCAAATCTAGGTTGGCAGGAGCAGAGAGCAACTGCCCAGGAGCAAAGAGTGATATAGGGGCAAACCCAAGGGTCAACATTTATCACTGACACACGTGGGATGAGCTCTCACACTTTGGGATGTATAGGAACAGACATCTTCCAGTTGGATTTTGCCTGGGATGCTTCCATGAAAGAGGAAGGTGAGGGCAGCTCCTCTCAAGGGAGCAGGGCAAGAACCCTCAGTCCTGACACCATCAGGAGACACAAGTGGTTTCCAGAGATGTGGGAATTTTTTTTTCTTTTTCAGGATTTTTTTTTTTTTTTTACTTCTTAAATCTTTCTGACATCACAGGAGCTTTCAGTAACATAAAGCACCCCTGCTGCTAGAGACCCTGCTGTGTGTAATAGCCTGCCTGCAGAACGAGATGAGGGGGATGCTGCTGGCAAGGGACAAACAGCAGAGAGTGTGAGCGCACATCTCAAACCACAAGCTACATACAAGCCCACAAATGTGTTCTCAAGAGAGATGGACAGAAAATCCAGGCTTATTTCCCACTGAAGTGCAACTATGGTGTTGACCTGGAGAGCACACACACCGTGCCTTTGACCCCAACCTCGATTTTTGTGGGATTTTACCCCAGTGTCCTGATCTTTGGTGTTACTGCTGCAGAGGGACAGAAAGCTTCAGCCTAGGTGTGATTCAGCTGAGAACATCCTTGAGCCTCAGCATTTTGCAGACACTTCCCAGAATTAGGCAAGTCTCCTCATTTAAAATTAGTAATTTCTTGTACATGTATTTAGTTGTGATCATATAACAGGTAATATTCCCAGGAAGGCAATCAAAAAGGTAGCTTACATTAAGGTCCTAGAAGCCTATGCAGTCCTAACAATCCCTATTTAGCACTACTATTGACAGATGTAAAGCTTTTTACATACTCAGCTATTTTTTTGACATTGTATTACCAAGGTCAAAAGATCAAAGCCTCCTCACAGATTAAAAAAAAAAAAGAAATACATAAACAGTGTTTTTCTGTTCAACAAAATATCTAGAGGCCAACCTGCCACAAACAGGTCAGCAACATCCACTTAGTGCAGAAACATCTCATCACTGAGGATGATTCATTATACATGTGAATAAGACACAAGTAAAAGCTGAGCAAAGAGCTCCCCAAAACCCTCCTGATCTGGACCAGGGGGGAAAAAGAACCCAAGAACTATCCTGACACTAGAATTCCTCTGCTTAATTCCAGCCTTTGAAACCAAGTTATATGAAAAGTGTTATTAAGTTCTGACTCCTATGAAGGCCAAGAAAACTAATGTGGTTTTTTGCCAGAGCAAGAAATAAAATTGCAGTGAACAAAATATTTTACCAGAACATTGCCTGTATTTTATTAAACCTTGAATCTTAAAATTAAGCTCCAGATCTTCAGAGCAAGCGGATATGCAGAGTCCAGTTCTGGCTAATTGACCAAAAATGGTGGCACAGGGAATATGGATTTTAGACACACTTTCAGTCTCATCAAAAAGTGGAATCTGGTGCCTGGATTAGGATCACCTAACAGCTACTGCCAGGTGGGATAAAGGGCTGGAGGAACAAGGCCCAGAGATGCAACACTAAAACGCAGTTACACTAATATTAGTTACTTTATATTCAGCAAGTTGCTTTCCTAAATAAAATCTGAAATGCTGGGTTTAAACTCCATGTTAGTAAAGCTCTCAAGAACTTTGATTTTGATAAAGCCACACAAGAGGGGCTGATCTTGTGGCTGAAATTATTTACCACTACATTAATTTTTGGCTCTGGTAAGCAAGTTGGCTTTTTGTGTTGCTGATACAAAGTAACAAACTTCAGGTTTGATACTTATTCTGGAGGAAATTCTAAGTAAATACAGCTGTTAAAATACAAATATAGAATGGAGACCTAAAAACCAACTTATCACATACACTTTATAAAGGACTTCACCAAAATAATTCAGAAGTTGGGCTGTGGGCATACATCAAATAATGTCCTAGAGATGCTCAACTTCTGAATATGAGTGTTACAAACAAGGAGCCACTTCACATCCATCCCTTCACCCAATACAGTTAAACTGCTCCACAGAAGCACATCCACAGGACCAGAACTTGTTCCTGGAATTCAAAATCTTAGCTGTAGCTGAATTGCCCAGGAAACAGCAAAATTGGTATGGGGAGGAAGGAGGGGAAAAGAGGTAAATTATTTTAGAAACTGAAATTTCTTGGCATTGATACAGGCACAGACAGCTAACCACTAACAGAATTCACCTGGCACCTCTAGGACCACAACTTTCAAAAAGGCCAAATTTATCCCTAAGCTGGAGGTAAAGCACTGCACACTAAAATGTTGTCATCTGCTCAGATTCCTGATGCCCTTGTCTTCCATTAGGATTTCCTCTGCCTTGAACAATTTAACTGCACTTTCAGTTAAACTGGGATATCCCTCACCCCAATTCTCTCAAAGAGAAAGAACTCAGCATTTCATTTGAGTACCAAAATCTCAAGATTTGGTTTCCTAATATTCCTAAGAAAGGGGGGAAAAAAGTTCCTTATCAATACTTCAATTCCAGATTATTTAATAAAAAACTCCCAGCCAAATTATCTGTTGGTGTAGGTGCTTGCAGCACTGCTGACTGATGAGTGAAACAGAATTCTGAAGGACAGGACAAAACATGTAGTTAATTATAGTGAACTGCATTGATAGCAAGTTAAATAGGCTTGTGATCAAGTAGACTGAAGTGACATCTCAAGTCAGTTAAATCTCAGTTGCTCACCTTCTACATTTCTGTTGTTCTGGGTGCTCCAAGACAAGTCTTCCTTAATTTTCAGTTGACAGCTATGAACTGCTTGCCATCAAAAGGATGTGATCACGTTTTGTCTAGCATTAGTCTTGCCTGTGATAAGCTACTCCATTTAAATAGACTTTACTTTGCACAACTCTGGCAGACAGCATTCATTACCAAATCCGAGCAAGTTATGAATAATGTGATTTATTCTGTAATTTTTGGCTCTCTGTTCAAGATACCAAAGCAGATAATATATCTTTATTAATCCTCTTTGGAAATCTTCAGACAAATTCACTCGTGTTTAGAGCTCACTCAAAACCTCTCAAAATAAGTTAGCAGCAAATAAGCTCTGCAGGAGCCTTAGAATGGGGGTGAAATCTGTTCACTGCCTACGTTTTTTCTGTGGAGCTCATTTCATTATCTGCAAGAGCTATCAAGAACTACAGCACTTAACTCGTTTCCAGACTGGTCTGCCAGAACCCTTAAACAAATTTCAGGGAGAAAAATTAAAACTAAGTTATCACAGGACTAAATTTCAGCAGTAAATTTCTTCATGTGAATATAAAAACACAGTAAGTTTCTAATGTGTGATCCTGTCCGAGTACTGCTTGCGTGAAGAATTGTAACAAAGATGGTACAAAAGTGTCTTTTAGATTGGAGTGTGCAAGTCGAAACTAATCACATGAGGACTAAGCTCTCAAAAATGCTAGAGGGTGTGACTGAAACAGAAAGGTAGTCAACCAAAAAGGGAACATTTACAAACCAAGAAACTAACGGAGTGAAAAAGGATAAAAAAAAACGCAACAAAAAAACACCCAAGAAAAATAAAACCGCCAAACAGAAAAACCCAAACCACTACATTCCACCACTTATACCATACTAAAAAACCAAGAAAATTAGAAATGCTTCCAAATTCAGCACTAAATCAAGTAAGAGTGGGATCTAAATGATAGCAGATTGCTGCTTCTTAGCATTGTAGCTTAGAGAACTCAGTTCAGCTCCAGACTCCGCCTGGTACTATACTCACGAAGTCTGCTTTTATGTGGAGCAGACAAATTTTACACTCTTAAAAAGAACCTTTCATATGCACTACTTCAGCCAAGGCAGTACCCCCAGTATTTCCTAGATCTGCTCCAAGGAATTAGGCCATGCATTGAAGAGCAAAAGGGGAGGGAAGACTGATCATTTTTAATCAATATAACCCATGTGTATTATTTAAAAATCAAGACTAAAAACAGGCATCATTTAATGTATTTTAATAGCAAACTTACAGGAACAGCACAGAAGACAGACAACATTAAAAACATGTACTTGCATGTAGGACAACTCAGTTAGAAAAGTATAGTGAATGGATGGAATCTACTGTATGATAAAAATGCTACAAACACCATTTAGTTGCCATTGATAAGAAATTTACTTGTTTAAAAAAATCCAAATGCTGGCATTGTCCAGAAAAATTTGACAGGTTTATTTATAATTTTTTTTTATAAAGTTGTTTTGGTGAACAAGTTTCAACAATTAATGTTTTTATTTTTTTTGACCACATTGTTTGTTTTTATGTCCCCTTGTTTATATTAAAAATCCACACACAAATGAAAATGGAAAGAAAACTTGCCAATACCCAATTCTGTCCCCTATTTTTCCACTTGCAACCATATACTTAAGGTACCTTTTAACCCCATGGAAAAAATATCTAACGTTCATTACTACCAATAACAGGAAGAAGATTTTGCTTCGAGAATGACAAACCCATCGTGGTGAGGTTTTAGGCACGCTCTCCACGTATGCGGCGTGCTAGCTGGATATCTTTTGGCATGATTGTGACACGTTTGGCATGGATAGCACACAGGTTGGTGTCTTCAAACAGGCCAACCAAGTAGGCTTCACTTGCCTCCTAGTGTGGAAGAAAAGAGGTAAGATTATTTTCACTGAGCACCAGGAAAGAAAAGAATCATAGTTCAGAATTAAAAGCACAGTGTATGTAACATGGCATTAAGTTGAGGTTTTGATCTTTATTACTCACAAATAGCAAAAGTTTTAGACTTTCAGAAACAAAAAGCCATCCCTTTTTTGTAATATTTTATGTCTAAAGTTGTATACTTTTTGGTAAGGACATCCTCCAGAACACAACAGAATTAATACTCCCATTGGACTCCCACAAGATAGGAAGGGATTAAATTATTAACAAGTTAGTTAGTTTAGGAAATTCTCTTTTCAAAGGCTGGGTTACACTTTTTGAGGGACTTGTTTGCTGCCTCTTTCAGAGTAAAAGTCACTGACCAACAGGTGAAATTAGCAGGTGCCAAGGAAAAGAACATGTATTCCTTCCCAACACATAGTTCAGGCACCAAGCTCCTTCCACAGATATTGAAGAGGAGGCTTAACTCAAAAATTACCAGAAAAAAAAATATACCAAGAACTATTAGAAAAAAGAGAACTCCTTTAGTTCAGGAACTCCTTGAACCATGAAAACCAAGACATCAGTCAGGAAATCACCATCACACATTTGTCCCGTTCCTGTTCTTTTTTCCTGCCTACCTGGGGACACAGCACTGGCCCCCACTTCTGTTCCCTGTGAGAACAGAAGGTTCTCACCTCACACCTGAGAGAGCCAGGGGCAGCACAAGAACAATGCTGACCACAGTGGCTTTCCCAGTTACTGAACAGCTGCAGACAGGACTCTGAGTTAGACAGATGCTCAGCTGGACCTAAATATTCTCCTGACTCACGTTAAGTTAGCTGTTGCTAAACCCAGCACAGTAATGGTAATTGTTTAAACACTTTTGGCTTGACATGGAATTCTAACACCTATCAATCTCCTAGGAAGCATCTCAGTGTGCCAGTATTGGACACAGCGACACCTGGGCTGAGAAGGTGGGAATGATGGGGCTCAGTTATAGAAAGGAGAGTGAGGTCACCCTTTCTACAATACACACAAGAGAAGAACTTGTGTGAACCACTTCATTGCCAGGAACTCCGAGAACCAACTTATTAGGTTCAAAGATTCTGTTTAAAAACCTAAGATTATCCAATATAAAGAAAGAACAATATTTACTACAGCAGATAAGGACTGTGGTATTACGAAGTCATTTCATTTGCAGTAGGATGTGAGAATCCCTAATGAAGCTTTGTCAAATCACTATGTGAAAAGTTAAGACACTTCATCAAATATCCATGCTGGCACAAACAACATGGTACCAAAGGGATTAATTTTTTATTTTTCATTTTTTAATTTAATTTTTAATTTTTTTTAAATTTTAAATTTAATTTTAAATTTTTTATTTTATTTTACTTTTTTTAATTTTTTTTTCAAATATGCAAGCAGAAAACACTAGGAATTGCATGTGACCAAGTTCTATACCAACAACTCCTTGATGCAAAACCAGAAACATTCAAACCAGGAGCCTTCTAAAAGTGTTATTAACTACTAAATTTTAATAGGCAGTTCTAGATAAAGAGACACACAAATAAACCTCAGGATTTAAGAACTACCACACAGAACAACTAAAAGCAAAAGCAGCAACTCTGCAAACACTCAGAGGCATCTTTTGAAGCTAAGCATATGCCCAAGTTTATGGGCTCTCATGGCAAATGTCTTGGCCCCTTATCAAGAGGAAGTCATTAACTAGAGAGACCATTTTGTCTGCATGTCAGACAGAATGATACATTCTGGAACAAGCTTCAACAGCTAAAAGAACAGTAAAGACCTATCTTTAATCGGGAGTGTCTTTTATCGCGAGCGGGAGATGTCCCCACAATAAGAACCAAGTCTTGTGGGGGAGTCCTAACTTAGATTCAGGAATTTGGGCCAGAAAGAGCAATTAATATTTTTCACTCTGCATAATCTAAATAAGTTACATAACTAATATATTTAAAAAAATGTGTTTAGCATCAACTACATCCTAGGAGAGCAGCTATTTCCTTAACTGTGTTTAGATGTCACTTATTGGGCCGTTTGTCTTTAGAGGGCATTTGAGGACACCAGGACCTCCGCATGAGGACACCCCAGAACCTGCTTTACACAATGTTCCCTCTCCAAGTGCAGAGCTCAAAGACGGAGGAAATGCGTTCTTCTTGAGCATCTTAAGCACTGTTCTAACAAATTGGGGGTCTATTTTAAAAAAACCCAAAACCAAAGCACCCCCCACAGAAATACACTTCCAGGCTCTGTAAGGAGCTGCTGAGCTGTCCCTGCGCTGCTTTATCCTACGGCACCCACGGGCATTCCCAGGTGGGCAAGGCAAGGCAAGGCTGAGGTGTGCGTCCCTCCCCAGCGGTGCGGGCCACGCCCACCGCGGTAATCCCACCAATCAGAGGGAGCCCAAACTACCCCTGGAAACAGGCTGGCCAATGGGGGAGCGGGGCGGAGCTCCGGGGGCTCCAGGGAATGCCGGCTGGGGGCACTCCCGGCCAGCCCGGCCCGGGACCCTGGCCAGGCTCACCTGCAAAGCACCGATGGCAGCGCTCTGGAAGCGCAGATCTGTCTTGAAGTCCTGAGCAATTTCACGCACCAGACGCTGGAAGGGAAGTTTGCGGATCAAAAGTTCGGTGGACTTTTGATAGCGCCTGATTTCACGCAGAGCCACAGTACCCGGCCTATTCAAATTAAATACAATGAAAAAAAGGATTAGCATTGAAAACGTATTTTGCACCACCTTAAAAATAGGGGTCCATCCTCCAGACTAAACCAATCACCATACATTTTCCCTAAGAGAGTCTCAGCATTTACAATACAAAATCAGTTCTGCTGGCAAAGGGTCACTGTCCTCTCACCACCAATCTGTGCCAACTCCCACTGGCTTCAGCAGGGATCCCTCAGGCAGACTCCCGAGGCCTGACCTCACCAAGGGAAGAGCTGGCCAACATGCACGGTCCTCCTGACACCAACACAGCTCAGTGCAGATGTGGCAAATCACAAAGCTGCCCCCAGTTCAGTCGTACCAAAGGTACCCTCCCAGCGGGAGCATCCTGATTTTAAGGGAAAACTGGTTCTTCTTCTCTAGTGTCAACATTCACAGAACCAACAAAATTTATATTCTCTCTTATATTGTCAGTCAAAAGTATCCAGCGCATTTCCCCACGTTAGTTTTGGTGTCAGAATGACAAATTCAGATTAGCAACATATGTTTGCAAACATGATATCCATCTGTGAAATTAATACCACATTTATTTCCGTGGAAGCTTTGTCTTTTCCTGCTCCAGCTTTATTACTTTTCTCCCAGTTAATGAATTCTGCCTCACACCTAGAGCAAGAATCACAAAGCAGGTCAGGTTAGAAGGGAACACAGTGGGTCACCTGGCCCAACCTCCCTGTTCAAACATGGCCATCCCAGAGATGGTATCTCAGGATTGTGTCCAGATGGCTTTTGGATATCTCCAAGGAAGAAGACTCCACAACCACTCTGGGCAATCTGTTGCAATGCTCAGTCACCTTCACAGTAAAGTTCTTCCTCATTATTCAGGTGAAATTTCCGGTGAATCGGTTTGTGGCACCACTGAGAAAAGCCTCTTCAGACTCCTCGATACATTAATTAATCCCCTCTTGGACTTTTAGATTAAGTCCCCTATTCGAAAACCCACTTCTTCCCGTTTCACGTTTTCCCCAAGGAATACCTACACCTAGCCCAAAACCATCCTCCAAGCTGAAGCACGACCGCTGCCGCTCCGCACCGAGCCACGACTGGAAAAGGCCAGGACTCGGGGGCTGTGTGACAGCTCTGCCCGGACTCCAGCCCGGCCCGGGGCTCCCAAGGCCGGGATTCGGGACAGGCGCGCGGGGCGGTTCGGGAGCGCCGGCGCATCCGCGGGTGCGCGGCTCCCTCTGGCGGCGGCTCCGCGCCCTGCAGGGCCCCGCGCCCGCCCAGCGCCGCCGCCGCCGGGTCCAGCCCCGCGAGCGGAGCGCGCAACGCGCCGCTAACAATAAACTTGGCGGCGGCGCAGCCCTGCTGCGGCCTCCAGATAACCGCGAGTACAAAATTATAAAAATTTAAAAGAACCGCCGAGTCGCGTCCACTGCGGGGGGGAGGGGTGTCGATTTTGTAGTCACCAGCACCGGAACGACCGGAAAGGGGCTGATGACAAACGCCGCGGGTCGGTGCCGCCCTGGGAATTTCTGGTTATTTTTCCGGCTGGCGGGGACCCGAGCTTGTGGGGATTTTTTTTTTTTATTTAAATTTTTTTTTGTTGGTTATTCTGCCGGCGGCCTCGGGGAGCGGAGCGCGGAGGAGGCGGGGAGAAGCGCCCCCCGCCCTTTCGGTCCCGTGGGGTGGGGGGGAGAAGGAGGGCCGGTAGCGCCCCGCGGCCGCCTCTGCGCGGCGCTGCGTTACCTGTAGCGGTGCGGCTTCTTCACCCCGCCAGTGGAGGGCGCGCTCTTGCGGGCGGCTTTGGTGGCGAGCTGCTTGCGGGGCGCCTTGCCACCGGTGGACTTGCGGGCGGTCTGCTTGGTACGGGCCATGCTCCTGCCGACGTCGCTGCCTTACACCTGCCGGGGGGAATGTGGACAGGCGGGGCAAGGGGGAGGTGGTCGCCCCGCTCGGCGTGGGCCCCCCGCGGCACTTGCCCCCGGGGCGAGCGGCAAGGCGGCCCCTGTCCCGCGCGACGCGTCCCTGCCCCACCAGCCCCGAGCGCCGAGCCCGAGGCGGCCGAACGCCTCCGACGGCCAGCAAAAAAAAAAACCCAAAAAATAACCCACACCAAAAAAGGAAAAAATTAAATTAGAAATTAAACGCCTGCCGATCGCGGAATATTAAAATACAGCTTTTTTTGCCCACGAATTCAATATCAAAGCGGCGGCGGCTGAAGCCGAGCGAGCCGCACGGCAGCAGGCACGGAGAGGCGGCTGTCGTCTCCCCCCCGCCGGCCACCCGTCACCTGCCAAGTGTTTGCAAATAGGGCCCGGCAAACATCGGGGGGCTGGCACCGACCCGCCGCTCCCACCCGCCGGAAAACCTGCTCCGAAACTGCGGAGCGGGGGCCAGCGGAGCGACAGCCCCGCCGGCCCTGCCCGGGCTGCCCGGCGCTCGCCGCCGCCCGCCCGCGCTCCCCGACCCGCCGGCAACCGCGGGCAACCCGGCATTTATGGTGCGAAAAGGAAAGGGGCCGCATAAAGTGCGAGAAAGCAACAAACTTTGTTTTCGGGGGGTTGTTTTTTGGGTGCCGTCTTTCTCTTTCTGTGTAACTGCTTCCCCAAGAGCTGCCTCGCTCCCAAGCGCCTCTCACAGGCAAACTCAGCTCCCAGAGCCAGAACAAAATGGAAACAATCACGAAACGCAGCCCTAGTCCTTTTGCAAAGGAGGAAAAAATAAACTGCAAAAAATAACGCCAAAAATATTGCCAGGAACTCCAAACCATGCGGGTGCAGATGCAGGGGGAGGCAGAGGAAAAGTTTGCGCTCGAAAACGAAAAAATTGCGTTGCGTTTGGGTCGTTCCTTCGGCGAATTTCTTTCCCTTTTTATTGTTTTTTATGCAATAGGAAAAAAAATATGGTCGGTGACCAGAGAAAAGAGACAAGATGGTGAAGCTGAGCAACAACTGTGGGGAGCAGGGGAAGGAAGGCAGGAGAGTTACCCTGGGCTGGCGCGCGGCTCCTCTTTGCGCCCCCTTCCCAGCCCCGATCCGGGGGATGTCGGGCTGAGGAGGCAGCTAAGGGGCTGGGGAGGCCGCTGGTGGGGGTCTGGAGCGGGGGCGAGGGGAGCAGAGGGGGGCAACGACCGCGCGAAGCGGGGCCGGGGGTGCCGGCGGAGGGAGCCGCTCCGGCTGCGCCGCGAAAGGCGGCGCGGCCGAGGGGAACCCGAGCCGCCGCCGCCTCCCGAGCCCCCCAAAAGTTTGTGGGGAGGGTCGGGGGGCAGCGGCGGGGGGTGTCGGGGCGCAGGGGGCGGCGGGCGCGGCGCCAGACTTACCCCGTCCGCTGGGCGAGCGCGGCTGCCGTGCGGGAGGGAGGGAGGGAGGGATGGAGGGCGGGCGAGCGGGCGGGCGCAGGAGGAGCCGGAGCTGCTGCGGCTGGAGCTGGCGGCGGCTCGGAGCACAATTGAAAGATGGCTGACTGGCGAGGGCCGGCCCCGCGCGCCGCCCCGCCCCCCGCGCGCCATCGCGTGCGTTCGGCGGCCCGCCCCGGGGGCGGTGCCGGGGGCGCTACCCGGGGCGGTGCCGGGGCAGTGCCGGGGCCCCCCCCCCGCCCCGGCCCGCGCGCCCGCCAATGGCGCACAATGGAGGGAAGGCGCGGCCCCGCCCGCGGCCCCGCCCCCGCCCCGTGTGTACAAACACAAAAGGCACGCCGCGCGCGCGAGGGGATTCCCTGGCCCCGCGGCCCCCCGGCTCCCGCCCCCGCCCCGCCACGGGACACGGCCTTGTCCGCCGCAGTCGGTCCTGCCCGGCTTTGGGGGCGTCACCGTGTGGCCAGCAGGACTAGGGCGGTGATTTCCCCCCCGCACTCGGCGTTGGTGAGGCCGCACATGGAGTGATGCGTCCGGTTCTGGGCCCCTCACCACAGGAAGGATATGGAGGTGCGGGAGCGTGTCCAGAGAAGGGCAGTGGAGCTGGGTAAAGGGTCTGGAACATTCGTCCTACGATGAGCTGCTGAGGGAGCTGGGGGTGTTTATCCTGGAGAAAAGGAGGCTCAGGAGTGACCTTACTGCTCTCTACAACTCCCTGGAAAGAGCTTGTAGCCAGGTGGGGATTGGCCTCTTCTCCCAGGCAATCAGTGACAGGACAAAAGGAGGAAATGGCTTCAAATTGCACCAGGGGAGGTTTTGCTTGGACATGAGGAGGAATTTCTTCACAGCAAGACTGATTGGACATTGGATCAGGCTGCCCAGGGAGGTGGTGGAGTTACTGTCCCCTGGACGTGTTTAAGGAAAGACTGGACATGGAACTTAGTGCCATGGTCTAGTTGACAAGTGGTGTTCGGACAAAAGCTGGACTCGATGATCTTAGAGGTCTTTTCCAACCTAATTGATTTTGTAATTCTGTGATTCTTTTTTTTTTCTCTTTACATAGAAGCAAAACAAAAAAAAATCTCTCTGTAAGCTGGCCCATCAGAGCCTACCCAGCAAGGATGTGCTGTGGAAGAGCCATACTTGGTCTGAGAGCTGAGTGTCAGGAGGGGGCTGCTGGGGATACTTCTGTTTCAGAAACACACTGCAGGCACGATGGGTCACAAGGAAAATCTACTGTTGGGCAAGGAAAAGGAGACTCGTTTCCCACATCAGTGCTGTCCCACTGTTTGGAGTTTGAAATGCAGCTATTGGAAACGCATCTGTAAGTTTAGCACTGTCATCGCCAGCAGATCCCAACCGGTTGTATCAGCTGCCATGATGTTTAATGAGAAAACTTGCTCTTTATTTTCTATTAATGTCAGGATCAAAATGCCCTGGGGGAAAGTAACCTGCACTCGAATACAACTGAACAGTCACTGGCAATTGTCTTAAGCGCATCTCAGCTAGAGTCAGATCCTCTGCTCACACAAACTGGTGCCACCATCTTGTCTGTCATTTAGGCATTAGAAGGAGCCATATTTGATTTGTGAAATCTTTATTACGGATGATGATGTAATGCAGCTCTGTGTGTAGACACATCCAAACTACCTCTAGCAGCAGAAGTGGTTTAGCCCTGTGAGCATTCACTTGGGGCTAATCAAACATGACAAGAAAGAGAGTGTTATCATGGGCAGAACACTCTGCTAAAACAGATATAGTCTGCATTAGTGCTCAGATAAAAACAACAGGCTGCACTACACGGACATGACCAGGCATGCCACACACACACACACATACACACACATACACACCTTTGACCCTACAGTGAGTTTATGAGAGGTGACTATCAGGAAAGAGAAACCACAAGGGGTTTTATTTATACTTACAGAATTATCAGTGGATTGATTTATCTATTGATAGTATTTTTTGTGAGAACAGCATCTTACTAGACAGTCAGAAGTGAACTCTGAGCTGTTCGGTATTATACAATAAGAGTATTTGCCAATGCTCTGTAAACTCTAAACGCCGGGCACCGAAATTGGCATAAATTCCCCACACAACACACGCATCCCATGACGAGCAGCTGGAAAAGTTAAAAGAGGGCAGGACTAGAAGCTGCTCGGAGGTGAACATTCCATAGGTCGTCCCTGTCAGCTTTGGCTCTGCCCGCTGCCGGAGGTGCGGAGGAAGAGGCCGCGCTTGCAGCGCTCTCCGTCCGGCTGTTCCCGCTCCCTTTCTCCGCAGGAGCAGCCGCTCCGCCGCGCCCCCGGGCTGCGGCTCTCCCTGGCGGCCGGGCGTGACCGAGCCCCGAGGTCAGCGGCGGGGCCGGACCCCCCCGCGCCGGGGCTGCCGCGGGTGCCGCCGGACGTGCCCCCGCCGCCATTGGCGGGAGCGCCCTGGAATTCCATGACGCCAGGCGGGGCGGGGCGCGCGGCTGTCCCGGCCCCGGCGCTGCCCCCTCCCACGGCGAGCCCGTGCTTTCCTCCGCGAACTCGGCTCCCGAGAGAGCTTTCGTGTTCTCCGGGAGGGCTGCAGCGCTGCTCCCGCCCTGCCGCTGGCAGCTCTGGCTGGATTCAACCGCGTGAGGAACACCGCAGGCAGGACTACAGGGTATTGTCTGCGCACTGCCCACAGCGGAACACAGCGAAAGCTCAGAGAAGGAAAAACTATTCCAGTATTTCCAGGTTTTGCACCTTCGTTTCATCCTCGCTGACTAATGCTATTAAACCCGTGCTTTTCCAGGACTGTAGGAACAGGTACGGCCCTTTGAGCTTTACCACAAATGCTATTTGAGTGCCTACAGGACAGCACAGAAAGAGCTGGCCCAACTCTTTTTAAAAAGACTCCAGACGTTCATCTTTCACTGGCAGCACCGATAAGCCTTTGCTCCTCCTTTCGGAAGGCCTTTATCTCTGCAGACCACAGGCATCTTCCACCCTAAGGCATCCATAAGCGGCCATGAAGAAATCTAACCTAATGAGATTCCACTGGTTTAGCCGGCAATAACATGCCAAGGACAACTGCAGTACTTCATCCTCACCCAGCGTAACCACCGCTGCTGCAAACGTGGCCAGATTGCTACGGGAAAGAAGATTAGGGTGGAAAACAGCTGGTGCAGATTGGAGCCAAAGAAGACTCAAATGATAATGAGTAGAAAAGAGGAACATTAAAATCAGAAGTTGTTTTCAGCACCTTTTACAGAAAGTAGACAGCCCTCATTCAACAAAAAAGAGGCAGATTTCCTCTTGTACCTTGTTACTGTTTGTACTCCTTTGGGCAGTCCAAGCGCAGACATTTTTCAAAATTATCTCTTTCACCTTTCCCTTGCTGGGAAACTCTCATCTTGCTTGGGAGACTCTGGGCAGATGAAGGCAGGCACTTTTCCCATCAGGATGCATTAATTACAACTATTATATCAAGCTAAAAAGACTGTTTTGAAATGTTACTAGGAAAAAACAAACCACAAAACAAGCAAAACTAACACTTTGTTGCTTTGGACCTTTCCAATAGTCCTAGTCAGCTTCCAATGCCAGTGTAATCCACTGGCCCAGTTGGAGGAAGAGCTACCAGATCAATCCCAGTAACATGACAGACTGCAGGAACATCTACAAACAACTGCAGCAGCTGCTTCCCCTCACAACAGCAGAGATTACAAGCCAATCAGAGCAGATGAAGTTCGCCTTTTTTGAGGTTAACTGGACCAAAACAGAAAAAAAAGAGTCCAGAGTATGATCAGAGTATGGTTGTTTTTAAGCAACACTGCAGGTAATCTTTCAGAATCATTTGAGAAAGGCTTCCCATTACAAAAGACATTCACAGTTTGTCACCAAACTCCAAAGAGTCTCTGATCAAAGAAGAAATATTTCTTTCCTATCCCCCCGAAAGCACAAACTAAACACCGAAATGACTTAGTCCAGTTCCCACTCAAAAGATAAAGGTCCTCCCCTATCACCCAGGGAAAACTGGGGTTGTTATTAGTTTTATCTAAAAAGCTACTCAGACATTTTGGTGTATAAAAGACTACCTTTATTTATCTACAGCCTTTACCTGACTCCTACTCTCATTCATCTCCTTCCAGACCCAATTCTCCCTTCCTGTTCTCAGACAGATCCATCTCCCTTCTTTAACTCATTGAACCTCCAATCAACCTTTGCACTCCAGTTCTGCAAGTTCTCACCTATTCCCTGCCCCAACTCACAGCCTGGTGGCCATTTCCTTATTTCATATTTCCTACACACCTTTTTGATTCAATGTATTTGCTCAGACAATTGCGTTTTTCTCTTCTTTCTGGTTTTTGTTTTTTTTTTTTATTCCCCTATCCCTATCTTTCATCCTCTTGATTCTGATGCCAAACAGTTCCCACCTTCCCCAAGTTTTTCAGCCAGCCTCAGTCCCATACCTGCTGTGTTCCCTTCTGCAGCTCCCAGGCTGGACAGCCTTTCCTAGCCAATTTCAATCCCATCCTTAAAAAAACACTGTACTGTTTTGCTTCATCCTTGTTCCAGTCCTGGCAGGCCTGCCACCCCGTTTGTGGTTATAGCTGCTATGCACTTCCAATTTCTCCTGGAAATTAAAGTTAAATGTTAGTACAAAATGCTCACAAGCTTTAAAACTATCTTCCTCTTAAAATGCATTTTGACAGAATGAAAATATTTGTAGCCTTAACTTAGTATTAACAGTACATTTGGTGCAGATATAAGTGTATTCCTAAATAATCATCTACATAAAAGACAAAAATACACATTTGCTGTTTTTTTCCTAGGAAGTTACTAGAGGTGGCAATCATTGGTACTTGTTAAGGAAAGTACAAGTCACCGAAAAACCTCAAAACGAGTTACAATAATTTTGCCCCTGTGTAAATAGCTTTCTATTAGTATTTCTTTTGAAGGTTTCTATGTCATGGGTTTGTAGAGCACAGAAGTTACAGCACTGTAAGAGCAGCCATTGTACTGCACAGCTGTTTGATATGCTGGATTGCCCATTGCACAGGACACGTTTCTATCCTTTGGAATATTTATATTCTCTGTCAATACAGACACCAAAAATACACTGGCC